GTAGGTCATATTATAGATCCTCTATTCACGGAGGACTCTTGATACGCTAGACAGGTCATACTTGCTAAGATAGGTTATAAGCTCCCTTTTTAATAAGATAAATTATTTAATAAGATGAGCCATACTTTAGTTTCATTCTCAAGGAAGGGTTTTGGGAAGACCTCTGTAATGGGAGAATACTTCTGAAGCTTTACCTAAAAAGGGATCAGGTAAGTTCTTAAAGCAGGTTAGTGTAAAAAGGAAAATTTTTAGCTTAGTTAATGTGTGTTTGTCCCTCTCGCTAAAGAATCTGACAGAAATTTATAGGATTTAAATCTCGAGTTATATCTGAGGTTTTCCTTTGCTAGGACCTTCCATTTGTTTCATTCTTGAACTACCATGTGCATTTGTTGGGGCATCTTGCTTCCAATTTTTTTAGTCCAATAATATTTAATTAACAAATATCTTCATTTATTGGCTGAATTGTTTCAGACAAAGGAAAGGAAAACTTCCCTGGTAGTACTAAATATTTCTTTTGGGCTGGTTATTGGAGCTTTTGCCTTTGAGGATTCTGAGTTGCCAAGAGCAGTAGTTTAAGTGGGAGGCTTTCCTCTTTTCCTAGAGACTTCTCAATGGGCCCCAGGTAACAAGAATTGAAAATCTGTTTTGTGGTATCAAAAGGGCCACTTTGGACAGAAATTTTTTAGGGCATATACCATTTCATAGTGCTGGCTTCCTTACACTGGGAGATTCTGTTTCTCTTTGAATAGAATAATAAAACATAAAAATGAAAAACAGATATAAGATGGGGAAATAAATAAATCAAATAACAAAATTATCTGCTATTGAAAACAACAGCAAAATCCCAGTAAGTACCAAGCAAACTCTTTTAAGTTAAAATAAATGTAAATGTTTAGTAAATCTTTGTATGTCTAGTTAACATGGTTGGATTTCTTTGTGAGGAATTTCAGAGGAGGCAGAATTGAAGGCTAGGGTTTTTCCAGAAGGTTCCTGGGGGGAAGAGGATAGTCAGGGACAGGGTCTTTTCATTCATGCCAGAGATCTGTGTTGCAGTAGTCAAGGGAGCAGTAATTAGGGCGCCCCGGGGCCAGTTCACTTACCAGGTCAACACACACATAAATATATCATACCTAAATTATTGGTGTACTTATATATCTAAATCAGCATAGTCAATCTTTTTCTTTTCTTTTTTCTTCTTTCTTTTTTTCTTTCTTTCTTTCTTCCTTCCTTCCATCCTTCCTTCCTTCCTTTCTCTCTCTCTCTCTCTCTCTTTCTTTCTTTCTTATGTCAGAATATAGTTCCTGGAGTCAAATTTACTTTGTTGCTGTATTATTCTGGAATAGATAACGACCTTTTCCCAATTTCCAGTGGGAAATTGGGGTTAATAGAAAGGGGTTAGTAAGTTGGAAGTATGCTGTCAGAATTAAATAAAAATACAATAAATATGGCACACTTGACCCAGTGTTTCACACATAACAATTGTCAGTAAGTGGTAGCTGCTGTTATTTTAACTATATAACTTAGCTTGGTATTTCCACTTTGCAACAAGGGTGATTAAGCATCACTCTATCTGGGTGAAAGTATTTTATTTTAAACAGTATTTTTATTTTAATATCATTGGGAAAATGTTGTATTAGGCAATACTATCAATAAAATAATAGTATGTCCAATGTTTGGCATTTTATTGATTTGTGTTTTATGTGGGATCAACACTTTAATTTAAAATATTGGCCATCTGCATATTTTCCCCCAGCAGTTAACTTTAAATTTTCATGGCTTACTCTTCTAAAATTAAAAACAAACATAATCACAAAAAAATTAGAACAAAAATTATGAAAATATTTCTAAATTGACATGGACTTCTTTGGTCTTTCAGAGATTTATTGAGCAACAACATGTGGATATTGTGCTGGATGTGGGCAATACAAGGATGAAGGAATAGAGTTCACCACTCTAAGGAACTTAGAATGTAGTGGAAAGAGGAAGGCAACACAGGATAGCTTCCTGCAGAGCCCTGCACAAAATGCTTTTGTAACAGAGGATAGAACAATTAGCTCAGCCTGAGGCTTTCTGGGCAGGTTTCCTTAAAAGGAAAACACAGTAGAAGAGTGGTAACTAAGATTAAGAGCAATTTCTAGATAAAAGCTAAGTGGGGACAGGGAAGGGGTCTTTCAAGAAGAAAGTAGTGTGAGCAAAGTGCCATAGAACCGAAAAAAGGTCTAACATAATAGAAAACAGCAAGAAATGCATTGAAGTGGGAGCACAGACTACATGGAGAAGAGAAGTAGAAGCGTTGGGAGCTGGATGATAAAATACTTTCAGGATTGGTTAAAGAGCCTGCGTTTCATTTTACAGATTACAGAAAACCAGTCTGGGTTTATAAGCAAGGGAGGGATGGGATTAATTTCATAACAAATGATGTCAAAGGAAATAATATCATTCACTTTTAACTTGCCTTATTATATTTAAAAACTTCATCGAGAAGCTTACATTAATGAAGCAGGCAGGCCTCCAAGGTCCTGTGGGGGTTAGGAGAATGCAAACCTGCTCTGTCACCCCCACCCTCGCCCAGGAGGACACCTGCTGTTCGAGTAAGGGATTATCTCTGAGGAGAATGGATCCATCATTCAGGCAGAGAGCATCATTGGAGATAGTTGTACATATCATTTTTCTATTCTTCTGATTTTGCACCAAATGTTTTAATATTCAGGTTTTATAGGTGAATTGAAGACTGCCACAATCCTCAGAAGTAATTCACATAACTCATATGAAAAAGCAGATTCTGTTCGCGTTATCCAGAGTGGAGGCAGTCCTCCAAGAACTGGGAATTCTCAAAACATTTTCTCTATTGCAGAGAAATCCAAAGGGATGTGGGTTCAAACACTTTTTGATGTATGTTCCTTACTTATATGTAAAGATGTCATGAAACTCTTATGCCGTACATCCTTACAGACAAAAAGACAAAGAACAAATAATGGGCAGAAATATACAAAAGCAAAGCATTAGAATTCTGATTCCCAAGAAGATACCAAAATCCTCCCACGCTAGTGGACTCACTGTAATATCTAATCTGGAATAAAGCATCATCTTTCCTTTTTCTTCTCCATGAATAAACTACCCCTTGGGAAACTTTACCGCATTTCAGAGATTTATACTGAAAAAGGAAGCTTGTTTTTCATACCAATCATGCCAACTTCTTTTTTATTTCTCATTCGTTTATTTATTCATCCATTTAACCATCAAATATTTGTCAAGTGTCGCAAATATTCATCGTGTGTGTGGGTGGGAAAATTGGGAAGATCAAAATAGATTTTCTGTCCTCACAGAGCTTCATGTCTAAATGAACATTCAAATCAAAGTGCAATGTCTACAGTGTGGAGGCCAGCTCGGGCCTCCCTGCCTATGGAGGGGTAGATAAGATTGGTTGGGAGCCCCCAGATCCATCACCTGTGGGGTCAGAAGCTCCACTCCGCATATCCAGGCCTCTGTCTCAGGGTTGCCTCTGACTTTAGGCTGCTCTATGGTGAAGCAGTCACTGTTTTGCACTTTTTTTTTAAATTTTAATTCCAATATAGTTAACATGCAGTGTTTTATTAGTTCCAGGTGTACAATGTAGTGATTCAACACTCCCATACATCACTCAAGTGTTCATCACAACACGTGTGCTCCTTAATCCTCATCACCTATTTCACCCATCCCCCCACCCACCTCCCCTCCGGTAACCAGCAGTTTGTTCTCTATAGTTAAGATTCTATTTCTTGGTTTGTCTTGCTTTTTTTTCCCTTTGCTCATTTGTTTCTTAAATTCCACAGATGATTGAAATCATATGGTATTTGTCTTTCTCTGACTTTTTTCACTTAGCATTTTACTCTATAGATCTATCCATGTCGTTGCAAATGGCAAGATTTTATTCTTTTTTATGGATGAATAATATTCCATTGCACATATATACCACAACTTCTTTATCTATTCATCTATTGATGGACACTTGGGCTGCTTCCATAATTTGGATATTGTAAATAATGCTGCTATAAACATAGGGGTGCATGTGTCCCTTTTAATTAGTGTTTTTGGTTTTTTTTGGTAAATACCCAGTAGTGTGTTTACTGGATTGTAGGGTAGTTCTATTTTTAACATTTTGGGGAAACTCCATACTATTTTCCACAGAGGCTACACCAGTTTGCATTCCTACCACCAGTGCACAAAGGTTCCTTTTTCTCCACATCCTTGTCAACAGTTGTTGTTTCTTGAACTTTTGATTTTAGACATTCTGACAGGTGTGAGGTGAGAGTTCATCGTGGTTTTGATTTGCATTTCCCTGATGATCAGTGATGTTGAGCATCTTTTCATGTATCTGTTGGCCATCTGGGTGTCTTTTTGGAGAAATGTCTCTTCATATCTTCCACCCATTTTTAAATTGGATAATTTGTGTTTTTTTGGTGTTGAGTTGTATAAGTTCTTTATATATTTTGGATACTAACCTTTTATTGGATGTCATTTGCAAATATCTTTGCCCATTTAGTAGGCTGCCTTTTAATTTTGTTGATTGTTTCCTTTGCTGTGTAGAAGCTTCTTATTTTGATATAGTCCCAATAGTTTATTTTTGCTATATTTCTCTTGCCTCAGGAGACATATTTAGAAAAATGTTGCTATCGCCAATGTCAGAGACATTACTGCCTCTGCTCTCTTTTAGGATTTTTATGGTTTCAGGTCTCACATTTAAGTCTTGAATCCATTTTGAGTTTATTTTTGTGTATGGTGTAAGAAAGTGGTCCATTTTCATTCTTTTGCTTATACCTGACCAGTTTTTCCAATACCATTGCTTGAAGAGACTATCTTTTTTCCATTGGATATTCTTTCCTGCTCTGTCAAAGATTAATTGACCATGTAATTGTGGGTTTATTTCTGGGTTTTCTATTCTGTTCTATTGGTCTATGTGTCTATTTTTGTGACAGGACCACATTTTTGTGTCTGTTTTTGTGACTTTTGATTACTACAACTTTGTAATATAACTTGAAGTCTGAAATTATGATCCCTTCAGCTTTTCTTTTTCAAAAGTGCTTTGACTATTCAGTGTCTTTTGTGGTTCCATATAAATTTTAGGATTGTTTGTTCCAGTTCTGTTGGTATTTTGATAGGGATTGCATTGAACGTGTAAATTGCTTTAGATGGTACAGACATTTTAACAATATTTGTTCTTCCAATTCATGAGCATGGAATGTCTTTCCATTTGTTTGTGTCCTCTTCATTTTCTTTCATCAGTGTTTTATAGTTTTTAAAGTACATGTCTTTCACCTCTTTTATTCCTAGGTATCTATTATTTTTGGTGCAATTGTATGGGATTGTTTTCTTAATTTCTCTTTCTGCTGCTTCATTATTAGTGCATAGAAATGCAACAGATTTCTGCGCATTGATTTTGTATCCTATGACTTTACTGAATTCATTTTTCAGTTCTAATAGTTTTTTTTGGTGGAATCTTTCAGGTTTCCTATATATATAGCATCATGTTGTCTGCAAACAGTGAAAGTCTTACTTCTTCCTTACCAATTTGGGTGCCTTTTGTTTTCTGATTGCTGAGGCTAGGACTTCCATTACTATGTTGAATAAAAGTGGTGAGAGTGGATATCCTTGACTTGTTCTTGACCTTCAGGAGAAAGCTCTCAGTTTTTCCCCATTGAGTATGATGTTCACTGTGAGTCTTTCATATACGGTTTTTATTATGTTGAGGTATATTACCTGTAAACCTACCTTGTTGAGAGCTTTTATTATGAAGGGATGTTGTACTTTGTCAAATGCTTTTTCTGAGTCTACTGAAATGATCATATGGTTTTTATCCTTTTTATTATTGATATGATGTATCATGTTGATTGATTTGTGAATACTGAATGACCCCTGTATCCCAGGAATAAATCCCATTTGGTTGTGGTGAATGATTTTTTTTTTTAAAGATTTTATTTATTTATTTGACAGAGAGAGACACAGCAAGAGAGGGAACACAAGCAGGGGGAGTGGGAGAGGGAGAAGC